TGGTAGGAAGTCTAATGTATCTGACAGTGACACGGCCAGATCTGATGTATGTTGTGTGTTTGGTATCTCGTTTTATGGCAAGACCAAAAGAAGATCACCTTAACGCAGTCAAAAGAATACTTAGATATTTGAAGGGAACACTGGATTTTGGTTTATTTTATGAGAGGCAATCCAATCTAGAGCTGAAGGCATTTACCGATAGCAACTATGCAGGAGATACAGATGACAGAAGAAGTACATCAGGCTTTGTCTTCTTACTAAACAAAGCTGCTATATGTTGGAGTTCAAGAAAACAACCCATTGTTACTTTATCGTCAACCGAAGCCGAGTATGTGGCGGCTACTGAAGGTGCTTGTCATTGTGTGTGGTTAAAAGGCCTCTTGGAGCAGCTGAGTGACAAAGAATATGGTACAATAGAGATCTTTTGCGATAACAGCTCGACGATCAAGTTATCAAAAAATCCTGTGATGCATAGAAGAACCAAACATATTGACGTGAGGTACCATTACCTRCGTGATCTCACAAATCAAGGAGTTATTAAGCTGGTTTCTTGTGGAACAAAAGAGCAGGTTGCWGATATCATGACAAAGCCAGTGAAGTTGGAGACGTTTGTCAGGTTACGCGGTTTACTTGGTGTACARGCTCAAGAAARTTAAACTAGATGTTTGACAAGCATTTTAGTTTAAGGGGAGGAATTATTGAAGTGTTTTGAAGTGGTCAGTTAGTTTTGCTGAATAAAAGGTCTTCTACCTGTTTTGTAGGGGATATTTATTTTGAATTGGTATCAGATGTATAGACTTAGTCATCTGATTTTGCTCCTGATTTTCTGTTTCACGTTTGCTTTGTAGGCTATATATAGCCATCATTTCTATTAAATAAAGTGAGGACTTCCACTTTACTTTACTCTGTTTTATCAGAACTGACAACCATTTAATTAGCTTGCTTTAAGGCATGATGTTCTAGTTTAAAAATGTGATGATGTAAGAGATGAAATATGAGAACTTCATGAAGCACAACTTGTTGGAATTTTGTCACGGGATTTGATCCCACATAGGTAGGAAAGAGATACTAAGTGGCTACGTATGTGCAAAATCTTCACGATGCCTACAAAGTTGGGATGTTATATATATATATATATATATATATATATATAAACTCGAAAGCGGCCCATAAGTTTAACATTTAAACAAGGAATTGTTGTACCCACTGATCAAAACCAGAGAGTTTTACTTATGGACTAGGTACACTAATAATTCCATGAATCGTAAGCACCAAAATGGAGAAGGTTTGTTCTTAATGTAGCTAATCCTAGTTTCTTGAATCTAAAGCAGTCAAGTGAGACTTTTATGTGAAATAAGGGTTCTGTAAAAGAAGTTATTAAGGTCCCTATGTTGTTCTAAAAGCATTATTATAGTGGGGATAGGCAACAATTCATGTGGCATCAGAATACGTCGGTATGCTGTCTGAAGAATCAACACTGGTTTAGAAATAATGATGTGAATGAAAATCCCAACTTGGCAAACAAGATCCAACTCAGGCTTCCATAGGAAAATTAAAATCACAACATTAAAGGCAATGTTCCCTTGGATTGAGTAAGTGGTATATATACTATTCAGGCTTTAATACAAGTCTTGTACATGTTCAGTTATTCAAACATTTATAGAGAAAAAATGGAGAAATTCTGGACTAAACTGCATGGTCTCTAAATAGGAATGGGTGCCTCTTAAAAAGAGGGGAGCAGATATGCTCTTTACAGATGCTAATCCTCATATGAATTGTCAGATACTAGATGGTCCTCCCTATCTTTTTATTTTTTTTAAACTTAATTTAATCACATATTTTTACCTGATATCTATTCTACACTCTTGGAAACATGAAAAATGCACCCTCTTAATTTTAAAAAAATTGTACGATTTTTATTTCCATACTTTTGTTTGTCTGCTCGCCATTCCAAGCTTTCACTGATATATGATATATAATTGAATTGCTACTCATAGAAATCACTCATTTGGCTTGTTTTATTTGAAATCAGTTTGCTGTAGACTTGTTTTTGAACAGTGTTCTATTTTGATAGATGTGAAAAGTAGGAATGAAACCTGAATGCTGATTTTGTGATGACTAAAAAAGAATTAGGATGGGTAAAAGTTTCTATTGAAACAGCATAACAAATTTAGGAGAAAATTAAATATATTACGATGTTCTCTTCATCTGTATCAGAAACACGGTGGAATGCATGCAGAGAATGTGGCAACTCCAGAGGGGGAATGGGATCGCAAGACCCTTCTTCTGTGGTAGTTTTCGTCCGCATAAGAATGTGCCAACTGGATTTTGGAGAACAAGAGTTAAGAGTAATGTCAGGAAAACACAATACTAGTAACAAGAAATGAAGCTCAGTCATTTTTCAAATCTTTAGTAAGGAAAAGGCATGAAAATCTAGTAAATCAATTGTCTATCCATCCCTAAAGACAATGCAAAATTTACACCAAAAGTTGCTATAGCAATGAATAGTAGCACATAAGCAACTCTCACCGTTCATAATTCATGACATGACCATGCAACATGCGCATGGTACCGTATTTGAAGTCGAAGAAAACTTAAATGCCATAAATTCAAAGTAGAAGACTTCTCTCTATCTTTTTTTACTAAATTCATGAAATAATAAAATTCAAAAGTTTAAACCCAAATGCACTAATCACTAAACCTTAAACTAGGTTAGGATAGTCTATTATCTATTAAAAGTTAACTGAGAAAGTAGGGATAATCTGAAGTCCATTACCTGTCTACCTCCATTTCTTTTGCTTTCTTTACTTGTTCCAGGAATTGCAGAACAGTTTCGCTATCAGTACTTGGATTCCTTCTCCCCTGAAAGTCAGAACTTGATTTTACAATAAGTATACTGATATAGAGACGCTAGCAAGAACAACCAAAGACCAGCTCAAAATTGAAAAAGGGCACAAACAGGAAGTCCTGCGACTTTCCCAGCGACTGAAGTCGCTAGAAAAGCCGCCCAAGTCACTAAAGCCAAGAATAGGAGAGACAGAGTCTTATGCGACTCTTCCCATGGCTAAAGCGGCGGCGCTATCCACCTAACTCAGTGTGTGAATTCCAGCGAGTAACCGAGGGGCTACTCGCCCGCTTCTGATCTTTCCTTGGCGGACCCAAGTTCCATTCAAGCTATTAATTTTTATTGTTTTAATAAGTTTCCTATTTAGTCTACAATTATTTCAACTTAAACATATAAATAGGATTTAATATTTCGTTGTTATTCAAATTATCCATTATTAATAAATTCTCTTTTGAGAGTATTTCCTGAGTTTTGAGTTTCACATATGTAATTCTTAAATCCAAAATGGGATTTAGACATTTGTCGAACCTTCCGCAGTTCCTACTGCATCATATACAAAGATCAATTGGAATTAATTAATATAAACCCATCATCACGACAACCTATAAGGCACACGGTACCCAAACTGCATAGCTGCCTGTACTCATAGGAAGGTTACTTTCAAAGAATAGGGCTGTGAAATGGAGTAACATCTAAGCTTCGGAAGAAGGTTACTTTGATTAACTAACTTCAATAAACATCGTATAGTACTGGTTTCGCCCAATTTACCAAGGAATATTTTGGTTGCTTCTGCCAGATCGCTTACTGCTAGGTCGAGTCGGATGTCAGCCTGTGGAGGCACCATTTGTGACTATTGGACAAATGACCTTTTTTTGTAGATAGAATCTTCAATGAGTAGAAACAAGCAACCTTACTAAGCTAAGAAAGGTGATCATGAGCGAATTTGCATGATGTTGCACCCATCAAGTATGGAAAGTTTCCTTCCGTTCAATTTCTAAAAAAAATAGGGATGGTGCATTGCATGTTCCTTGATTACCTGAAAATTTTACAAAATAATTATATACAGTTTACCGAAGAATAGGATACTCCTGACAGTTTCTGAAATTGTTGTAGAACCCAAAAATTTACCACACTCATTGTGTTATTTGCATGACAAGGTGAAAAAGAGTGAAGCACAGAAACTACATTATGACATAAATTTGTATCTCTGTTGGCCAGTTGTATGTTTCATAGGCAAGGATAAGATATGTAAGTCCATTTTTCCACTACCTAAATGTCATGGTTTATAAATTATACTTACCCAGCCAAATGCAAATGGGACATTATTTCCTGTTCCTAAAGACATCGTCGCAATTGGTGGTGGAGGAGATAATTGCAGATCACTCACAACTCCAAGCAACCAGGCAGCGGTTCCATCTCCTCCAGCAACCTGATGAACTACTTCCATGTCAGCATTATGCATTTGAAACATATGACAAAAATGGCATTGACATAACACAACTTCATGTAAGAATCCTCAGTCCAAAGTTAAACTTATGCCCAATCATTGCTAGTCAACTCACAATTATTCTTAACCGTGCCTGTATCAAAGGAGCTAATTCATCTCCATTGAGTTTGAGATTTTCAAGATGGTGGTACAGTCTGCGTAAAACGTCATCAGGAGCCTCTTCTTCTAAATTAAAAACCTTGTAGGTAAAACATACGTCAGATTTGGTATAAAACAACCTTGAATTCGATTAGTCAATCAAATGCCACAATACCTGATTCTGACCAAGGATGGAACGGTACGTGACAATAAGTTCACCACCCAACTGACCACCACTCTTAGGGTTGATAAATACTATTGTAGGATATGCTGGTGCAACAGAAAGAGCTTCAACCTTTCCACCCGGAACAAGCATGTAATCAGGAATGTGCAAATCACGTAAAAGATTGTCAGAAGAGGATTTTAACTTATCCATGCTGGAACCAACTGCAGGTAACATTCATAAGCAAAAATTAAGAGATTTAATCAATAATATGAAACAGCCCTAGAAATATAATGCAGAAACTATATAACCACGAGGACTCTGAGGCACATAGTTAACATTCTTAGTGTTCGCATCTAAAGGGTGACCAACAGAAGTCCATGCAGAAATGAACTAGAGTGAGAATACTGATACTTTTATGCAGTGAGACATACCCTTTATCAAATGGATTGCGGTCGAACTCAATGGTCATTACCACATTGTGCAGACAGCCGGTTACACCCTAAACAACCCAAGTCAACTATCAAGTTAATTGTCATATAATCCTTAAGTAACTTTTCAAAACACGAGTGCCAATTGCATTTAAAAGAATTACTACAAATTATAGAAAACCTATCAATGGTAATCAAACATTTAAGGTACATAAAAACCGATTCAAGACTATCTAAACATTACTACACGATCCTACCAACTAAAAACTGCAAAAACTATCTTTGAGATCATCAATGTATTGATATGAACTTGCTACAAATCTAACACCAACATCATTCAATACGTTAGTAGTTGTTATAAATTGAAATGTAGTCGACCATTTTTTGTTAGATATTTAAAATTCAAAGAAATCATATCAATGTTGAACAAATTTTGCAGGAAACAGAAAGATCATCAATCGTGAAGTTGATGGAAGAACAGTTCCTGACATTGTACTGAAGCTTCTAATGATCGATGTGCCAAGGATTCTTCATTAACATCGTCCAAATTATAAATTAAAACATATAGTCACAATTGAGCTCGATTTAAACCACCAAATCACATCAAAACGATCAAAAAAAACCATCAACAAAGACAATAATAACACGTAACATTGATCCAAAATAAAAGTATCCATTAATGTGCGTATTCCGAGAAGAACTCCGGTTTCAGAATATGGCCAACATACCTTGTGAGCTTTACCGGCTGAAGATAATTTCAGATCCGAAAATATTATGGAACATTGAAACAAGAAAATAAGGCGTTGTAACTGGAAAGTCGTTAATAATCGTTTGAGTTCTCAAGGATCATACATGGCTGTCATGGCAACTCTTCCTTCTCCGAGATAGAAGATTCAGCAAATTAGAATGAATTACAAAAAGAGCCCCTGAACTATTGTAAAACCTACAAATTTAGTCCACCAATTACATTTTTTTGCACTATTGATCCCAAATATCCAATTCTTTTTTCAGAATTGATCTTTTACAATCGAGAACGTAAGATGTAATGATGTGATAATTTACTAGTTGCTTAAAGAGAACGAATCATCAAGTCCATTGTTAAAGATAGTAACAAAAGCGTCCATTTGTTTAGCCGGAAGCGACAAACCGATTTCAAAATCTTCCGGCGATTCCTTGCCAGCGTTAAGTGAAATTGAGCCATTGCAATCTATCGATATTGTCTCATATTTTTTCGGCTTTCCCCACCCGAAATCGACGTCGTAAATCTTCAACTTTGGAGTTCCCGCAACCCCAATCTTGGTCGAAATCTTTTCCGGTGTTATAAATAACATTTCATAGCATAATTCGGCTTTCTTTAGCACTCCCTCCTTATTCTTAACTGTTTCACTTATAGCCTTTCCTAACGATTCAACAGCGATAAGAAATCCCTTGTTGCCCGATAACATCATGCTCTTTGTAATCGCGGTGCAAGGCCCTACGCAATTACCGAAATAGGTTTCGGGAACCGGTGGATCCATACGACTCCTCAAATTCGCTTGGCAAACAAAACGTTCCAACTCGTCTTCACTCTTTCTTTCATGGATTTCGGTGCGTGATTTTGCGATGCAACTCCATATGTAAGCACACGCTACGGAAAAAGATGATATGTATCCTAACGTCGGGAGTTCTGCCAAAACCCATTTCTTGAACAAATTGATTTTTTCTTTGGTCAAGATAAACGTGGCTCGTACTTTAGAAGGCAGGTCAACAAGCTCCGGAGGTTGAAACTCCTGATTAAGAGTTTCAACCCCACGCTGATTCATAAAAATCTCGTCTAAAGAGTCAGGGTATTTGATCGGTCTATCATAAGACGGCAAACACCCTTTAGCCAATAATAACTCATCTGTACCATGTCTAGCCATCGAAGTCCACGCCTTCAAGAAATCGTATTTGGTGCTTGCATCACAAAGCACGTGGTGATTCGTGATCCCGATCGAGATACCTCGGTTCTCGAAAAACGTCACTTGCACTGCGAATAACGGGATCGCCAAAAAGTTGGATACTTTAGCGACACGACCTAGTGGAGGTACAAGAGGATAAAACTTGTCACATGCTCGAGGGTGGTTTCCTACAAGATCGTCGAAATCAAGACCACTTTCGGCAATCCTTAGCACCACCGAATCGCCTTCAACGTGACGAATTTCGGGTTTTTTTGGGACATTGGAATGGTTTGAATCAGTAAACACGATTAAGTTGCTTGCAAATGGGAAATAGTGTTGAAGAGTGATGGATAATGAGTGTCTAATAATGGGAACAATTGTTTGGATGAAATGAGGTTTAGGGTGTGGCAATTCATAAAAGAAAAGCTGGTGAATCGGAAAGTGGAGCAGCCACATAATGTCGAAGAAAGTAAGCGGCAGTGTCCTCTCGCCGACGGTAGCCGGCGGCGGAGAGATTCGGCAATCTTCAAGAACAGTCAACATATCGGTGGTGGATGGCGTCATTTGCATTATTCTTTTGAAAACCAAATGCTATTTGTCTATCGTTTACTAGAATAACTACAAAATATATAATTAATAAGACCCACTTGTGAGTGGAATTTTGAATTGAAAGAGACGTCGTGAAATTGACATGTCCCGATACAATGTACACTACCAAAATGACAGTCTTTTCCGGCGGACAAATTCGCCGGAAATCCGCCGGAAATTGGGTTTTTCGGCAGATTTCCGGTGGATTTGTCCGCCGGAAAAGAGGACACTGGTGATTTATTTTCCGTCGAGTTTTCTGGCGGATTCTTTACTTTTCCGGCGGATTTCGGCCGCCGGAAATCTTTCGCCAGAAATTGTTGGAAGTCAATAAAATGTTGACTTTTTAGTGTCCGCCGAAAATCCGCCGATAATTTGCCGGAAATTTACCGCCGACGGAAATGCTCAGTTTTCTAGTAGTGGTATGTCCAAAAGCACGTTCGTGATTACAATAATTGAGGCCTGCTACAAATCTAAGTCGTTCAATCCAGTTTGTTCAACTTCACCCACTATCTAACTATATTATAAAGCATTTGACAAAAAAAATTAAAAACTATATTTTATGCATGAAGTACTATTTATTGATGTATATTACTTAAAATTCAAGAGTACAAATAATTTTGCGTAAGTACAACTTAGTAAAGCTTCATTTTTAAATTCGTATAACTAACTGCAGATAAACATAATTAAATACATGATAAACATCTATTTTAAATATAGAAAATCTAAAATATAATTAAGATAATCATTGAGTTCTAACATAATGTTTAATTATTATCTTTATAAAAAATTATATTATTAAATAAAAAATAATTACCTTATTATTAAATTTAAATTGAATTATAATAAAAAATTGAATTAAAAAACTTATACCAAAAAAACGAGAACTATTAAATAGTTGATTTGATACTAATATTGATTTTTTTTTCAAAATTTTATGTTATCTTCAAATTTATATTTCATTCAAAAATAAAAAACATTATCGATTTCTCAAAACTATATAAAACGTATTATATTGATAGAGATGAAGAATAAAAACTAAACATTAAAATCGAGATTTATCTCGCTGCATTGCACGAGTACTCTTCTAGTCGTTATTTAATAGTTTCGGGTTAAGTGTTAGGTTGGTTATGCCACAAATGCGAAACTATCACGTGATTTCTATGGTCCTAAAGTAGAAATCCATGAGCACAACAGATCCGATAACAAATACAAATAAAAATATCTAGATGTTCTACAACATGCTCCAATGAAGATATACAACATATTACTTGCAACATGCTCCACTAGAACTTAGCCTACATACACAATGTTTGTATAAATGTAAAAACAATAATCTTATATGTATAATCTATACTATATTATAATACATTTGACTAAAACTCTTAAAAACTCTTAAAACTCTTAAAACTCTTAAAACTCTTAAAAACTCTTAAA